CTCTGTATACGATTTTAACGCCCTATAAGTTCGGACACTTTTTAGCGTGGACCCGACGTCCATATAATTGTAAGTCAATGTTAAGCATGATTGCATCGATACAAACGCTCGATTGCCTATAAATCGCAGGTGTAGCGATGCAATCGCGCGTTTGTATTGCTGCTCAAAGTCGCGCGTGTGTGTAAAGGTTACCTATTCCATACCCATTTCTACCGCCAAGCAGTAATGCCAGCTTTACTGCGTTCCGGTTTTGAAGGGTAAGGTGCTGGTGAAATTTACAGGCACATGGGACTTGTCAACTTATGTCTCAGGGTGACGGGCGCAGTGCCCCTGAGATCTTTGCGATTTAAAGTTCTGAGTGGCACTGCAACTGTTACGGACAGGCGTGGCGTTGATGATGATCAGGCGCACGACTCGTTCATCCCGTGTAACCGCTCTAAGCAACATCGTGTCGTTTCAGTGTCCAGCGACCCATACGTAATGGAGGAGACGTGCGCGTCGAACTCGCGGGCGCTGGGGTCGTCCCTGTGGGAGGTGGCGGCGCTGCAGAGGCACTTCTGCGCGAGCGTGTCCGCCGCCGCCGCGCGGGTCCTGGCTGCGCCCAAGGACCGCGCGCAGCCCGTGTCCTTGGCCGCCGGCGACGACAGCGCCGTAAGTTGGCGCTTCGTAATTACGCGCACGCGCACAGTCCGCGGCTCTAGGGAAAGCATGTTTCGAGGGTGCCACGGACACTCGTAACCACAAATTACAATGAAACTCACGGGAGAAATTATCTTCTTCATCATCACGTCAACGTGACATCTTCAGCTTGAGGCACCTGTAAAGGTACCGGGTGCGGTGAAGAAGGTTCTACCATCTCTCGCTAGATGTCACTAGCGGCGCAGAATGCAGAAAAATTCAACACAAAGATCTTTAACAAAAACACATAGGAAGAATTTCGGCAACTCGATAACCTTGAGCTGTCGCTCAGTTGGTGAGAGCAGCGCTACGGTACAGCGCGGTCATGGGTTCAAGTCCCGTCATCGAAGAAAAAAAATGTTATGTTGGATAAATAAATATAGGCCATAAAAATATTTCTCCCGGCCCGGTAACCGAACCTGGGACCTCTGCGCGGCAGTCCGGCATGGTAACCTTTCGGCCATGGAGGCAGTTTAAATTTTAACATTAACTGCCGGTCACATCTGTTTTGACGTTACGACGACAGACCGTCGTGACAATGAGCATGTTGAAAAATTATGGTTTGGTGAATGCTCCGACAAAATAACAATATTCATTATAAATTGCACTTCACATAAAACCCTGTTAAATAAATGGAGAGAAAAAACCAAACTCTTTGTGTTCACAGTTGTTCGATGCCGAACTGAAGAAGAGGTTCAAGACCATAGAGCTAAATTTCATACGGCCACAAGGAATGACGTTGCCTTCTGGCGAACGGCTGCTGCAGTATTGGGAGCTCATGGCATGAACAAGGATGTAAGTGGTGATGAAAGAGACTCTGTCTTTTAAGGCGTTTTATAACTACTCGATTCCATCTTACAGGACTCGACTCTAAAATTAAGACTGGGGATTCGAGATTTTATTAATAAGACTCACTCTTAATAAGAGACTCAAAAGACTTAAACGACTTGAAAGACTCGAGTTGTCTGCAAAGGACTTATACCTATTTTATGTCTTATACCCAAAGTTTATAAATAAAAATGACGTAAGTAGTATGTGGTAAATAATCAAAAAAAAAAAAAGAAATAAAATCACGCCATACGGCTCATGACTCGCGACCTCAGAGGCTATGAGGCGCCAGGCGTTTTAGTCTTTTTAGTCGTTTCAGTCCTATAAGTCTTAAGCTTCCTAGGGTTAAAAGACTTCGATTCGAATAAGTCTTCAGTTTTAGTCTTATGACTCAAGACTTGGGGGTTGAAAGACTAGACTAGTCGTGAGGCGTTAAAAATTTGTCGGGGTTTTTTAAAAGGCCTTAAAAGACTGACTCTCTTTCATCACTAGATGTAAGCCCATTGAGACCCAGCAGTCCTTGGAAGTCAGTTAGGAGAAATTGTATATAGAATATCAGTAGCATTTATGTTGAGTTAAAATTTGGAAGGTCTTATTTACGTTCAAATTGGCCATATTAATATATTTATCACTTTTTACAATTGTATGCTATATCTCTTGTTACTATATAGGGTGTAAAATAAATCGACGCTGAAACTTAACGGGTTTATTTCAGACACACTGAAATTTTAACAGTCAGTATATACTCTGTTTAGTTAGTTCAAAAACTGTAAAATAGTTCGTTTTAAAACTTGAGTTCTAGCGTCGTTTTCTTATATACCATGTATGTCGTTTGTGCGCTTGTTTATTATTAATTTTATGTATTATGTATACTAGTGTATAGACAAACGAGACGGAGACTTGTTCCCAGTAATGGGTTGTAGACAGGTTGAGGACCATGATGTATATTAACACTAGAGCATGTTTTACAGTAGCTAATACAGGTGACCCCGAAGGCTGGGTAATTTTTAGACGATTACTCTACTAATCAATATGAAAAAGATTTACCGAAATTACACTCTGAATCTCTGAATTTTTGAATCTGAATCTGACTCTTATTAAATTATAAACATGTTATAAAATTTACATTTTTAATATTATTATTATACATATTCACCCTGTATGATACATATATTGAGTGTAACAGAAATGGTATATCCATGCCATGACGTGGCTTCGATTTGTTTGGCAGAATATTGTTCGGTATTTATGATAATTCCCGGGGCTATGTTGATATAAACTTGAAATTCTATTTTTCTGCATAATGGTCGGTCGTTTTATTATGTATATTTTTGTAACAGTAAAGCTCCTTGTGGAAGAGTTCTTCCAGGGAAATTCTGCCACTGTACCTATTTCTGCTGCCAAGCAATAACGTGAGCATTACCGCGTTCCGGGTTTGAAGGGTAAGGGGTTGTTGATGAACTTACAGTCAAATGGTATTTGTCAACTTTTTGTCTAAGGGATGATGGGTGCAGTTACAATACTTCTGAGATCTTTGCGATTTAAAGCTTTGAATGTCACTTCAACTTATGGACAGCGCACGGCTTGTTAATTGCGTCACTTGATATCATACAAAAATGTAGCGTGCGCGTTTCTACTTACTAGTAATGCCATCTATCAATCAGCCTATTGCAGTCCACTGCTGGTAAGCCTTTCCAAGTGTACGCCATAGTACCTGATCACCCATTTTCCGCATCAAACCACTACCCGCGACTTTCTTCAGCTCGTCAGTCCATCTTGCAGGGGGACGTCGTACGTTACGTTTGCCGAAACGTGGTCTCCACTCGAGAACCCGTCTACTCCATCGCTCATCGATTCTACGACAGATGTGGCCAGCCCATTGCCACTTCAGCTAGCTACATTTCTGGACGATGTCCACTACTTTAGTGTTATGCCGATGATAACGTCGTTCCGGACTTTGTCCCTTAACGAGATACCCAGCATAGACCTTTCCATAGCTCGCTGAGCGACGTGTAGTCTGTGAGCCAGTTTGACCGTTATATTCCACGTCTCGGCTCCGTAAGTCATGACCGGTAGGACGCATTGGTTGTAAACCCTGGTCTTTAGGCATTGCGGGAGTGGTGACGAGAAGACATGACAATGCCATCTATTGGCGACATAGTACTAACTTTTAACCAGGTAAAAATGATCCCTTCAAAACTAGGCAACGCCATTCGGGGTTACCTTTGTATAGGTCTTATTTCATATACTAATATGTAAAAACCATTTTGTGATCTTTATGAACAATCGTTATTCGTCTCATTCGCCGAATTCGTCGACAAAAAAAAATTGACACGAGCCTACAGCTCAACGTGTAAACTACTAAACCGAAATAACGTCTGAAAAAAGAACTAAAACTAAAACAAGTTAGACCGCTATGGCCCCTTTATACGGAACGATTTGCCTTCACGATCCATCGTTTCAGGCTGATCGAAACGACGAATCGGTAAGTGTATTAAAGTTTGTAAACGGGACGTTTCAGCCATGTTGCCGTTTTCAATTGTTAATACAATGCAACGAGAAAGTTTGAAAGTCGATAGTGTATGTTTATGTCGATTAATTTGAACGCTAGCGTAGCGATGGATCGCAACGATCAATCGAAACGAGACATCGCCTATATATGGGGGTCATTAGTTACTACAAGGACGATATATCGAAACTGTCTTCTAATTGACTTCCATGTACTTTAAAGTTATCTGTTTTAAGAACACAGTGATGATGCATTTATTGTTTTGACTTGTTTATTGGTTACTCAACTTTTAAGTTATTATTTATTACTCTATTTAACGTTATATTATATACGCGACGGTATATATTTCTGGTCTAAACTACGATTTTGATCTTTATAGCGATCTCTTTCGGTTCTAAATTCTAAGTATTTGAAAGTATTCATTTCGATTTCTAAAATTTCTTATAAACGTTTGTAATGACGAAAATAGATCGTGAATTTTTCTTAAAAATATTTATCGGGGTTGTATGATCGACGACGTCTTGATCATACAAACTTGGTTGGTAACTAACTAGTGGCCGTAGAACAAAGAGATTTTTGGTCGTTTCATATTATGTAGTTAGAGGAAGCAAAATAGTGCAGTCTATATCGAATTTTCCAGATTGTTTCTGTAATCCAAAATCTTTTAATGATAAATGTGAACAAGTATCTATTTACGAAGAGCAATTCCTAGATTTTCTTACTCATTCTTTTCAGGAGAATTTGCATTACGAATAAGTCATAGTGCTTTCAATTTGACAACTTTATTTGTAATTAGCTTACTTATAAAATAACACTCAATTGGAACACATAAAAGTAAATTAAGGTTCACATTGTTTTATTTTGAGCCTTGAAAGTTTAAATTGTACTTCGTTTCGATCCATTTTAAACAAAAAGTAAACAAACAAGTCACTGACCTGACCATAGGCGGTTTAGTGATGGCCAATTGTAATGCAAACTAAAGATCGATTGATTAATTGGATGAATCGATTTGTTTAATTGCATTGTATAGTCATACTAGCGGTTTTCCTTGCATGAATAGTAATATACATAACCTTAATATAATAATCTTAATTTTAAATCCTCCTTCAAATCTTTACACTTAAATACTCGTTTGATTGCGATTGAAATTTTCAATTTACCAATCGATTATAAAAACTTTAATTGAATTAACGGAATGTTTTTTTTTTCGTAAAGCACTATGCAACCATAGACAAGTCATACAAGTATAGATGAACAATAAAATAACACAACCTCACTTTTGAACAACCATTTTTCAAATACAATTTTACGATGCTATTCAAATGATTATTGTTAGAAAAAGTAATGAGATATCAAGTCGAAAACTTCGAAATATACGTGAAAGTGTTAGTTATTCGATTTATGGAGTGATTGCTTTAGAACTTTAACGAAGCAGGCTTGTTTACTTTTTGTTGAAAATTGATTGGAACAGACTATAATATTACTGACTTTCAAGGTACATGTCCCCTCTAAAAACTAGGAGGTTTTGCCGTAAACACTTGGATAACAGTTAGTGAATAGTAGTAAAGTAAATTTACTCACGAGGAATCGCTGCCTTTTTGGATTTATCATTAAGAGGGGGCAGAGGAAAAATTTCTAATCTTCGATTTGATTTTAGAGGGGTATATCCACTTTAAAGTTAAAAATAAAATATTGTATGAGTAACTACACGATATATTCAAGCATAGACATTAATCAGAAACATAAAACAATAGTTTCCTCGATAGATAAAAATCACGACATGACCTCTAATTTTCACATTTTTTCGATTCATCCTCGAAATGCTACAAGTTATTAGGACAAAAATTAGATAATTAGTTATATTTATGCATGATCGATAACTGTCACCCTTTAGTTTTAGTTATTCCGCTAAAACGAATTTGGTACTTTTAATGCGCAAAATTCAACATCTCCTGTCGCATATCACGCCAACTTCAGGCATATATTTGTTTCACAAATTTGGGCGGAGCCAACGTCAAAACTTTTTTGGCATGCTCCCTCTTAAGAATCAACACACAATTTTGCTGTTGATTTTGTATGGCAGCTGTGCCGTGTCGCAGTCCTGGTGGTGAAGTCCTTTAGTCTTTTTCAATGTGTAAGGAACCTCACCAGTCAAGAAGTGTTTTTTTTTAATTTCTATAATTTGCTGTATCTATTTAATTGAATATCATGATGTTTTTTGTGACAATACTTCACTAGCTTGTTGTTATTATTTAACGAAGACCGAAGAAGAATTTTGATGATTCTGACGACTTCGGTAACCTAGAGATTTGCACTATGGACCAATATGAGAAATTAATTTTTCTTAATTGTTTTTGGTATGAGTCAAAATCACAATAATATTTTTTTCATAGGTAAGCATTATTACACTTGAAATCCTCACATTGGTTAAACTCTACCGCTCATTCGTAACGCAGATTCCCCTGAGAAGAATGAGCAAGAAACTCTAGGGATTGTAAGTAACATTTATACACATTCAACATTTACGATAGTGACTGAAGAGTGTAGTTTAGATAATGCC